AACCCCTACCACATAACTTATCAAGCTTCATTTTTAAAACTAATTAGGTGGTTTGCCCCCACCACTCCTATTGGGAGCTGTTCCAGGACCTCACTCCTCTGATGATTAGAAACCTACTAATTTCCTGAATTTATTCATAGCTGGTTTATACCTATTTGTTCTTGTGCCAACATAGTCCTTTAGCTTAAATAGCTCTTCTCTCTCCCTGGTGTTTACCGTTCTGCTGTATTTATAGAGAGCAATCAAATCCTCTCTACAACTTCGTTTTGAAAGGCTAAATAAGCCAAGCTCTCTTAGTCTCCTCTCATAAGATGAGCTCTCCATTCCCCTGATCATCCTAGTAGCTCTTCTCGACAGCTGTTCTACTGTGAATTCAGACTGGAGCCTTGGCTAGTAGAAAATAATATAGATCAGCTCCATACTTGAGTAGTGATTTGTGTCTTATTACTGGCTCAATTTGGACTTTGAGTCATAGCCTAAATAGCCTAGAACAGCAAATCACCTTCATATGCCAACCCCTGCCAAGGGCATTGTGTTGGAGGACCAGAACAAATGTCCCTGAAGTGGCTGAGAACTTGTGCAAACGAGCTGTGGGACAGAATGTGTTTTTCCTCCCTCCCCCGATGCCATGTTCTCACTGGAAAATGGTTGCCTGGGTTCAGTGCTTTTCTGATGCTTTTTCACTGCCTTAAAGTTATGTCAAGAGGGAAGATGATCTTTTGTTTTCCTCTGGTGCTTGTACTTGTCCTCAGAAGTTCCTCTGAAGTCCAATATTCTTCATGTAAAAATAAGGGGAAAGGTATTCATTTACATTTTATGTCCAACTTGGGGAGGCATTTAATTAAAACTACCCCAAAAAAATTAAGCCTTTCGGGGCCTGATTTCTGGTCTCACTTACATCTCTGCATTATGAGAAGTAATTCCACTTAAGTCAATGGAGTTACACATGAATAAAACTGTTGAGAGCAGAATCAGAGCCTACTGCCCCAAGTTGGCTTTTCATGCTCTGCTCCCACTTTAAGTGCAGGGCACAATTAGAGCAGGAAAAGCACATAGAGACAGAGAAGATATTTTTTAACATCAAAACAGTGTTTTAGCCAAATACTTACCCAGAACAGAGAACCACAGGGGGCTCTGGCTTTCCCATTTTGTGATCACACTTCATTTTGCAATAGTCTGAGCCTCCACTTGTTTGGATGGAGAGGAAGAATCCTGGGGACTCAGCTCTATGGAAGCCCTTTATTGAGGTACATAGAGGATATTCTGCTTGGATGCTGCATATCAGCACATGTGTAATTCTGAAAAGTGTCAGACACCAATATTTCCTGAAGCATGATCTCCTAGGCCACTGTTAGGGCTGCACTGCTGTTGAGATATTATACCAGGGGTGCTGGGACAATTTGTGTAGTAGGGGTGCTGAGAGTCATTGCACCAAACTGTAAAACCTGTATATAATGGAAACCACTTCAAGCCAGGGGGTGCGGGAGCACCCCTAGTTCCAGCACCTATGCATTACACCGAGCAGTGTCCGGAAGCTTCCACAAAATGGCACCACAGTGGCCTTGGATCATCTCAGCAGACCATCATACACAGTAGCCTTAAAGTATCTGGCATTTTTAACATCTCTTTGTATCATCTCGATAGTGTGTGGAAGCAGAGTTCTTGGACGTTTTTAGTAGTTTGAATGAAACTTCATCTCTTGTGTAAGCCATTAAGCCAAATTCTGGCCTCAGAGGGTATGAATCTTGAGTTGCTTTTTTGATTTGAGTGCAGCTCTCAGATGTAGATTCTGGTTGACGCACATTGAAGACCATCTGATCCAAAGCCCACTGAAGGCAATGGAAAAACGCCTATTAACTTTAATAAGCTTTGGCGCAAGCCTTAAGATACAGAGCCCTGCATATCTCTTGTAGCTAGGCCCTAATCATAGGATCAAGGCAAAAATATACCATGAATCCAAGCATCTCTGAATTTTGTGGAGTTGTAAATTTAGACCTAGATTCAAAATTTGCAGCTTGAGTCCTAGATACATTACTCTCTTACTCAGCTACTGAATCTACTGCCTGCACTAGTTTGAATAATGTCTGCTTGCATTACTGAGCAAACCAAGTTTTACTTTTATTAGCACTTCAGGGCAATATAGCTATGGTGAGCTGAATTCTGTTCTCTCTACCACAATAGCAACAAAATAATCAGTAAAGTTCCAGTGACAGCATCTTCATTACTGATGCTGCGTTTGAGAGGCAGAAAAAACACAGGTTGAGCATGCTGTGCAGGCAGTTGGAAAAAATCATCTTTTGACTTGTAAACAGAGCAGCAGATTTGATATGGAGTCACTGGAAGAAAATAAATATGGCATACTGTCGTGTCAGTTTTACTGAATCACTTTTCAGAGTCTACATAAACTTTAAAACAAAAACCAAGCCATGAATTATTTGGTTTTCCACAGAGCGGCAGTGAGCTGAAAGTGGAAGCGGGCCCCAGCCCACAATCCTCAGGAGGTATATAAATGATTGATGGTAAAAGCTTAGATCATCTACTTTAGGAGTGACTGAAGGATAATGTCCCTGCGTGTGTCTGGAATGCAGTGGGAGAGGGGTCTGAGGGAGAACACCCTGTGACACGCTTCTGAATTTATTCTCTAGATTCTCTTCCTCAGGAGTCGAGGTGGCGGTAGGGGCGTAGGTGAAGAGAGACCCTAGTCTATGTTTTCCCTCTGCCACCCTTGGACACTTCTTCACCAAAGAGCTTTCGGATCCGTTTTGCTCCCTCTCTGTTTGCTTTACTTTACTTTTCAAATTATAGATATTTGGCACAAAATTCAGCCATTTAGTCTTGCCCATTTTTACTGATCACCTTGCTTTATTGAGAGAATGAGAAGAGGAGGTACATGGATGTTGAAATTGTTAGGGTCTTTGTTGTGAGGGGAAAGTGATTGTTCTGACCTGATGTGTAAATAAGTTTCTGCTGCCATGGGAGTCTTCCCCATCCTTCTCTTTTGACAATTTTTTTCAAAGTTGGTCATAAATTTCCACCCATTCTCTCCCCCCCCCCCCACTCTTCACTTAGTTTTGAAGCTGACAGCCACAGGTAGGGCTTTGTAAATGGCAGGAAAGGAGCATTTTAAAAAAACATGCTCTTGACAGAAATACAGCAGTGTGGAGCTTGCACAAGGAATTATTTGAAAAATCAAACCTGGATATTTTAGAGATGTTGGACCACATCCTTGGCTGATGTGAATTGGCATAAGTCCATCAACTTCAATGGAGCCATGTCTGTTATATAGACCAGCTGAAGATCTAGCCCATCATTCCAAAAAAAAAAAGAGAGAGAGGGAAATTCCCTGGGATGTGCCGTTATGATAATGATACTCAGCCTGTATATATAATGCTCTTGCTTACAAATTAACCTTCCTGCCTTTGTGAGGTAGGTAAGTAAGTAAACTAGCTCAATGTTACAAATGAGGAAATTTGCCTAGGAGGTTAAGAAACTTGCTTAGAGCCAACAGGAGATTTAGGAGCAGAGCTGGGATTTAACCTTCAAGAATTCCTCATTTTGCTCAGGCTACTAGGCAGACATCTTGTCAATGACAGCACACTTGCATACTTGGTAGCGTCACATGGCATTAATTTGAAACAGTTGTCCAGCTAATTGCATGGCAAATTCTGGATTCAAGGCATATTTATTACAAAGGTCAACAACCCCCTTTTATCCAGTAAAACGCATATTACTTATGGTGCATAAAAATCAGTACACTTCAATGACTGCGGTGAGTGAATGCCTTCTGGGAGAGGGCCTGTGTTAATTGAGTGGATGCTAGCTTCTTAGGAGGCTTGGGACCATGTTTTAATCATTAATCTTGATCTATGCAATTTGATCCAGAAAGCAAATATTTAAGACAGAAAAATGTCATTTAAACAATGAGCACTATTATTATTAATAATGATGATAAAGCTATTTACTGCAGCAGGGTATTTAGCGTTACCATGATATTTGCAGATTCCCTATTGTTAGTATATGAGATCAGGCAAATAAGATGGTAAATTTATACTGCACTTGGCACATAAATGTCCAGTTTTAATAACGTGCATGGTTCTCTGTAAGGAGAGTAGAAGGAGAGGGAACTAACCGACATGGTACCTTTACTAATGTCTCTGACGCTAGCTCTGGGGAAAACAAATTGTGCCTACAGAATAGGTGGAATTGGAGCTTATAAGGATGGGTTCAATACATACTGACGCTTGAAATGTAGCTGACATTCCTCCATAGAGTTCAGAGATAAAATTGGTTCATATGTTACAAGGTACCAAACTGGATTTTACAGAAGAATGTAGCATAGCTTATAAAATACAGTTTGTCAGTACATATGGATTAATGTACCAGATGGCCAGTGTCATCCACTCAAGAGGAAAACATTTATTCTTTAGTGGAAAAGAAGGAAGTGGAAGGAAAGCTCATAGAATCGCACAGAAATTCTGGTTTGGTGGTGAAGTTTTCTTGATCTCTTACATATTTCTTCATTCTGAACCCTCTGTGGCAAAGAGGCCCATTTGCTGGTTCATTTCTCTTGTCAGGCCTAACACACCGTGGTCATAATCGGTATCTAAAAAGTGTTGTGTAAGATATAATTGGAAAACTAATAACTTACTGATCTTTAGTATTCTTGTGTGATGTATGTATGGGATTGGTACAAAGGAAATTGTCTCATGACATTAGTATGGTTGTGGCTTGGTTTTTAGGGAGTTTTTGCTGAACTCCCATAATTTAACACAGAAAATGAAGAAATGGCAAATTAAAAAAAATTATCACTTACAAGAAATGAGGCTGCAATAAAGCAGAGGTGCTGGGTTGAAATTTGGAGCTCAGAATATTTATATTGTGCCATACAATGGTACGTTGGCTTGCAATGAGTGACCGATAAGGCCATTTCAGTTTTTGGTGACCATTGTTTAAGTCCTTACCTTGCACTAATGATACTTTTGACACATGTTTTTCTCTAGGCAAAGGAGATGTTTTTGGTGATGTGTTCTGGAAAGAAGCTACCCTTGCTCAGTCCTGTGCTAATGTCAGAGCCTTGACTTACTGTGACCTTCATGTTATTAAAAGGGATGCCTTACAGAAAGTGCTGGAGTTCTACACAGCCTTTTCTCACTCCTTCTCCAGGAACCTCATCTTAACCTACAACTTGAGAAAAAGGGTAAGGAGCTTCATTTTTAACATATGGATTCTACAAATAATCACTGCTAAAGACTGTCCCTGTAACTGGTTTGAATTTTGCCGTTTCTCTTGCTCTTTCATAAAGGTGTAGGTTGATCAGTGACATTGCTAGAGTCAAAAAGTCACATCTGTAGGTGCATAATCAGATGTGGGTATGTCAAAAGTCCTTTATTTTAATTTATAAGAAGTAATCTCAGAAAAAGACTTGTAAGTTGCCATGCTGTTGTGATCAGTTGCTCATTGTTTTTGCACTGTTGATAAACGACATTCACTGATTTCTGCTGCTTTAGTGTGGCAGCATAATTAAAAAAGGAGGGGGCATTATTTAATCAGTTATGAGAGACTGAGGAAAAGGCATGAAATCTGATATATGGAAGAAAAACCTTTGCAAGTTTGTAATTCTGCAGTTGCAATAGCAATATAATATAAGCATGAACGATTTTATCAGGAGTTGTTTCTTCTAGCTACAAATACATTTTGGAAGTACTTTGCTGACTTAATTGATATGTTTGTTCTCTCTCTTCCTCCTTTCCCCTCCCTCCGCCCCCCCCCCCCACGGTTCAGGTTTTTTTTTTTTTCTAATTCTTCTTCTTGTGTGTTTTAAATCCAAGACTTACTGTGTCAGGTGCAAATTATAAAAATGAATATACCATTTTTAATTCCCTATGTAATCTCAACAAGGAGTCTGGTGGCACCTTAAAGACTAACAGATTTATTGGGGCATAAGCTTTCGTGGGTAAAAAAACACTTCTGAAGAAGTAGTTTGGATAAGTGGTTTATTTATCCACGAGAGCTTATACCCCAATAAATCTATTAATCTTTAAGGTGCCACCAGACTCCTTGTTGTTTTTGTGGATACAGACTAACACGGCTACCCCCTGATATGTGACACTATGTAATCTCAGTGAACCACTGCTGTGGAATTTTATTAAAATGGTAGTACATATAGTTCAATTAATATGATTCCATGATGCAGTGTAGAAGAGAGAAGAATATGAAATTGTGAATAATTGGAGTCCACTGGTGCTATTTTTTAAAAGAATATTTTAATAGAAAGTGGTACATAATCACCTAACATGTATTTTTGGTAGACTTTTTTGTTCCTAAGAAATTCTCCATGGTAACTATCAAGTGCCACAAAACTTCTAGCTAATTATAGCTGAATACACAGCAGAACTCTTTTTCAGCCTTTTTGTAAAATGATGACAGTGTGAAAGTAGAATTTAACCCCAGCTGGCTAATTCTTGGCACTCTGGATCTACTCTAGGCATGTTGAAATTTATAATACTTCACACATCAATAACTCATTCCATCCATTTGCACCCTTTACAAATATCAATTAATTTCGGTCCCTAGTATGCTATAAGGTAGGTAAGTATTATCCCCATTTTTGACACAAAATCAAAGCAACAATGACAAATTATCATTACAAAATTAACAAGCCAACTCCTGGAGATGTAAATTCTATTTGTTTTTCAGGGAATCCTTACCTTACAGGATGAATTCCACTGAATAGTACTGAGTTTCTGTCACAGACATTTGCTTCCTATAGGACAAGGGGAAATGCAAGGCTACAAGACTGTTAATCCCTTCTTATATGGTTGCAGTTAAGATCATCTGGATATTGGTCCTTAAATGTTGTGGCTTTAATAAAGCCCTCTCAATATAAAGATCCTCTGAAGAGTCAGTACTCTTGACTCTGTGGGATGAAATAGCCATAGTTATGGTTGTTTAAAAATATTGTGGTGAAGGGTGAGAGATTGTGTTAGAACTTTTACATCAGCAATTTGAGAATCAGATGTCTGGTCCAAAGTTGTGGATCCTTCCACTGACTCTAATGGGCTTGGATTATGCTCTGGATTCCCAGGCCTGTGGTACAAGACCATCTTTAACCACAAACATCCTTCCCCTTCCATGTCAGGTTCTTCTATGATGCATTTATTACAGAAATGAATTCTGTGATAGCAATTTCCATCAAATTACAGAGCTAATTGGATTTTAATTGGGTTGCAGTCAGTGGAAAAACTACGCTGATTGATAGTGGAAGTAAGATTCAACTGATTCTAGGTTAGCAGGCTGTATTCTTATTTAGTTAGTTAGTTTTTTACTTGAAAGAAAGCTGATTGCAATCAGAGGAGCAATCATAAATAACACAAAGAATATACATTTCTGGGGGTTTATTGAAGGGATGATATTTTATAGTGCTCATGCATCAGATCCATCAGAAAGTGACTTTTCAGAAATTGGAATTTTAAATATTTGTTTTCATACATAATCCACGAATTACTGTGATGTCATCACCGTTTAAATACCTGTGTCCAATTTATATAGGAAATTCTCATTAGGTTGTGGCTTTCTAACATTTCTCTGTATTTTTTTTCTGGAAAGAAATCACAGCCAGAAAACAGAATTTTATGTGAATTATCCTTGTGATAACTTTCAAAATATAAATATTATAATAGTACTTTGTGCTCCACTAGCACCTTTCATTGGGGAATGTCAAAGTGCTTAACTGGGTGAAGGGTAGCTACTGTATGTGCCCTCTAAATATATTTGTACATTATGAAAGTTCCTGGCAATTAAACAGCAATTTTTGATTGTCAAAAAAGACACCATTTCCCCACAAGGGGTCTCCACCTCTGGGGTGCAGACTCCTTGTTAATAGGAAGCTAGGAAAGTGATCTCCAGAAAGGTCTGCAAGCCCTTTAAGAGTCTGTCTGGAATAGAGCTGTCAGTCTGGGGAGGGCAAGGAACCTGCTCTTCCTGTGACCATGACCTTCCAGAAGCTCTAGTCTGTCATTACAGACAGTTACTCATATTATGCAGCAGGAGCATTGGGGCCCAGAGTTGTTTCACTGAGTCCCAGATACGGTTGCGTTTGTATCCTGGTGGAAAAATATGGCAGAATTAAAGCTGCTCAAAGCAACATTGGCTCCCCTTCTGAACCCTCAGAGAGGGGGGTGAGGCAAAGGCACTGGGGTCATGGGCTCAGCCAGTGGCAGTATAGTTTCTAAGGGGGCCATGCTAAAAGAGGCAGAAGTTCCATGGGTAAACCTTGGAGGAACCCACGATCTTCAGGGAAGAAGCCTGTCTTTCCCCCACAAATTTTCTGACACTGTTGATTTCATGGTCCCATTAGGAGTCTAGAACTTTTTCTCTTTAAAGGAACAGTGCAGAGGAAAATTCATGGGGAGACACTTGCACAGTTCCCAGCCACTCTGTCTCCTCCCTCCCCTTAGGCTTTTTTGTGATAAGGCACTTTCTGGCCCTAGATCTTTAACAACATTTGCTAGCATTCAATTCTTGGATAGCTGACATTAGGATAGTTGGTTGAATGGTTCCCGTCCTTTCTGTTTTTAAATATTTGCTCTCTGGTTGTGTGCATGCTTCATACCCAGCATTTATTCCCACTGTATTGGGGCAAGGTATATTGTCTCCTTCCACTCAGATGCAGCCATAAATGGTGTTATACCTTTGTTTATTCTTCATGTGATAAAGAACTCTCATTCATGTTTTACTAAGTTAGTCTCATTAGTGCGCCGTGCTTTGAATACTTTACTGTGCCATTTAAACATTAGGCATTTTAGCTTGGATGGGAAATTAAACAACTGGTTTTGAATGCAGTAGAACAACACAGTTCACAGGCGGAATGGTTCAGCATTTTAATGTTGCCAAATAAACTCATTATAAATGCTTGGAAGGTCTAGACGGAGCGGGAGGGAGTGAGGAGTTTTCCCGATCACAAATTTGTGTCCGAGGTATAGGGAGAAAATGAGAAAGCATAGATTTAGAAAACTAGATGTAGATACAAATTATACTGAAGAGTTACCAGGCAGAAAAGTATGGTACAGAATACGGTCAGCATATAAGTAGAGCAGGCATGAGCGAGTGCCTTAAAGCTCAGGACTCAGAATGGGAGATCGTGTCATAAAAGAATGCAATGATGGAAAAGACCTAACCATCCATCTCCCTGCCAGTGTGGAACTGCTCCCTATTGTACATTAGTGTTTCGCTCCATTTGTTTTTTAATTGTGCCATTTGATTGGGGTTCCCACCGGTTCTCTTGGGAATCTATTCCACAGATTAATCAATCACACTGCCAGGAAACTTTTCCTGATATTTAGCCTACATTTCACCTTCTGTCACTTCTAGCTAGAGTGACTACCCCTCTCATGGGACACTGTGGAAGCTGGGTTTGGGTAAGATACTTGAGCTAACAGTCTCTTGGTTTAAATGTGAGAGGGCTTCTCCCCTGTGACATCCTGAACTTGCCAACCTTCAGTTCATGCCACACGATCTATATGATCTCCCAGGCTGGTTCTTTCTGATGAAGAGAACTGAGTGGATGGAAGGCTATGATGGGACAATCTTCATTTTATGGGGGAATCTGGAGGGTTCTAATGTTTGTTATTGTATAGTATTTGTTGATGTAATTGATAGAAGCTGTCCAGATCTTTTCTGGTTCCATTTAAAACAAATAAATCCCCCCTTTTCCACTAAACAAAATTCCTCCTTTCCCACCTTGTTGTTAAAAACCTTCAAATATTTGTATACTATTACGTTCCCTGTCATTTCACCCTCAGTTGAACTATATATATGTTTACTTCTTCCAATATTTCCTCACAAATAATGCCCTGTGTTGTGCTCCTGGCTCTGTCACAGACTTCGTGTGGCCTTGGGCAAGTCATTTAACTTCTCTGGGCCTCTTTCTCCCCACCTGTAAATGGGTATAGTAATCCTTCCTAGATCAGAGGTTTGTGTGCAAATCACTTTGAGACCCTTGCTTGAATGTGTGATGGGAAGTATAAGGTGGTATTACATATCAACCTGCACATACAATAAATAGTCATAGAACTCAATCCGGTGCTACTCCATGCCCTCGAGGTTGGATTTCTTCCATCTCCTCTCCTGAAACTCCACAGATCTCGTTAACTCAAAGCCGGTCACTCAGGCTGTGTGCTAGAGAGAGTCTGAAGTATG